CCCACTTGCAATTCGCATTTTTATACAACTTGTACATTGTATAATATATTGTTTCTTTATTTTATTTGCACTTTGTTTTGGTTTTGCTGTTCTTTTCGTTTCAATTCGTTATGGCTTTTGCACTCAAACAGGTTCTGCCTGTGGCTATGTCTCTGTGGCTATGGCTGTGTGCTTTGTGTGGCATTTTATCCGCTAGATATATTTGTTAACTGTTTTTTTTTCTCGCCTTGCCTGTGCCCGGAACGAGTTGAGTAACTGCAATAAATGTCTATAACTTGGAATTGGCGTGACTTTGTGTCAATGTTTAACAGATTTCGAATTAGATTTAGATTGAAATCGCTTTGGGTTGCGGGTGAGCGGATCCAAGAAGGCAGGGCCTCTAAGCATAACTAAGTTAGTACAACGGTTATAAATCAATCGAGTGTTGGGTAATTACATAAAACATCATTTGGCATATTTTCAGGGCCATCCACTTGGTTGGAATTTCATTCGCAAAGGAAAGGTTGCGAAACATTATCAATTGCAAAAGATTTATCCGATATACTAGATATAAGATATATTTAAGATATATTCTGGGGATCCGATCTGTTGCATTTGTAATTGAATAAAATGAATATTCTATGCAGAATATCGAACTAATAAATATTTTAATATATCCAATAAAAAATATTACAAAAATATATGTACAGTAAACCATACATACATATACTTAATAATATTAAGTATACGTGAAATACCCTCTGCCAAAAATCTGTGTATGTATGTACATATCTGTATATGTATGTGGCTGTATCAGTATATTTCGAATGTCATTACAATCCGATTTCCCATTACATTTTAAACCTTTTTATTGATACCTTCTACTTAGTAGTATTATGTGACATAATAACCTGATACGATACCCCTCTCTCGTTCTCGGATATAGTACATATATTATAATACCTAATCAATATTCAATTCGAATATAAAACCTTTGCACATTGCGATTGCGGTGAAATGAGCAACAAGTACGTGTATTAATTGTTAGTTTTGCATAAGCACAAGGTCGTAGCACCCCACAGAGCACCCAACTAGTCCCCCCAATAATCCTCCATGCATACACACAAACAAACGAACATACATACATCGTGTACATGGTATATGTATGTATGTATGCATGCAACAGCAATCGTTGATCGGTGTTTATGGGCCACAATCAATTTACGGCATATACATACGAGTAGCTCAAATAAAAGCCCTAACAAATTACGCCTTTGCTTTGCTTTTAATTCTATTAAATAATATAAGTAAAGTACTCGCACTCGCACTTGCACTTGCACTCGAGTATAGTTGTGGGAATTGCCTTAGCCTTAGCCTCTCGCTGTGGATGTTATGCAAGAGATTTCACTGACAAGGTCGTCAGCTGGAAAGCCGGAAAAATCGAATCGCAAACACTGCCGCTGCCACTGCCACTGCCACAGCCGCTGCCAATGATTTCTATTGAATGTTGGCCCAGAACGCAATAAGCCAGATGCAGATGCATTGCTCCACATCGGCCTATAGGTCACTCGACCAGTCGACCGATTGCAGCACTCTGCTCCGCTGCGCTCCATTCTATAGCAATTGCCAATCATTTTCGTGCTTGCTAATCGCATTATGGGATGATTGGCTCCAGCGTTACGACTGGATTTTACAATGGAATTTCGGGTACATAATTCGCTGGAAAAGATTATGGGGGCTTTCACTTTTCAGGGGCGCTCACTGACCTATAGAACTGACATACAACCTATGAATAATAGGGCAGAGATCTTAACAGTTCTTTCAACGGTAATGTCCTCCTCCACAATCGCAGTCTTAGCCCATTCCCAGAATTCCCTCGATCTAAATTAAAAAATTAAATGGCTTTCAAAGATATGTGTGTATTTGTTGTATCTAAAAATATGACCCGCTAACAGGAGGAAGGAGACATTGTGCCCCAAGTTTTCTTCCTTAATTGACACCAAGTTCCAATTTCAATAGATGTCTGTTAGTATGCGTATATTGTGTTCTCCTTCTCTCTCTCTCTCTGCTTTCAGTGTCTGTCACCCGCTCAAAATGATAACAGAGAAATAAAAATACTTTTCATTCGGGGAATACATACACGAATGCGAATATATGTACATATATGACCCATACGCTGTTACGTTTATATGTGTGAGATGCGTGAGATTATTAAGGTCTCTCATCATCGTGCCACAGCCCCAATTTGGGTTCTGGCATTGACATTGAAAACGTTTTGAGTCCCGAAAAAAAACAAAAACAAAAACAAAAAACAGGTAGCTGATTGGGAATCTCTCTGTCCCCTTCCACGAATCTCCGCCACTTTCACAGTGAATGCTGATGGGTGGGGGAGGGGGAGCGGGTGGCGAAAAAGGCAAATAAATCTACGAGTACGAGAGTCTATCAGGGCGGCCTGGATGGCTGGATGGCCTTGACTTTTATTTGCTTGACTACTCGCAGACTCGTTTATTTATTGGCCAAGCAGCAGCAAAAAAAGGAGAATACAACGAGCATTCGCTCCATACATACAATATACATACATATGCATCTATCCGTGATATATATATATGGTATAACTGAGCCAATCTTGAGACACAAGCAAAACAAAACAAACCAGAAAAAAAAAAATTAAATAAAACCCCGAAAATGAAATCATTCGAAGTTCTCCAAAAACCAAAAAAAATCTTCGTCAACTGTCACTTTCATCAGCCGTTTGGGCGGGTGTGGGGATTCGTGGAACAGGTTCCCTCATGCTTTAGCTGGAAACATATGATTTAATCCAAACTAAAATGCCAGCCACTAAAACCAACACAACTTTGATTAATTAAGGCTTTGGGGGGAAGTTGGCAAAACAAAATTGAAAGTGGAATAAATTATGGAAATTATCAGAACAGAAAAACATAGAATTTTATAAATGTCCTAAAACGCAAGAAAAGTTTCTACAAAGAATCTACAACATAATTGAGGAAGTGGAAATACATAGAAAAGAATAATTATATATAATTTATATGCGAATGATCTCATAAAAAAAAAACATTTCTTTTATTGAATAAACAAAACGAATTACAAATTTATTTAAATAATAATTATGGAATCAGTTTCCATTATACCCATAAAAAATTTATAGTGCATTCGGTCTAGGCTTTGAAATAAATTCCATTAACTACTAGAGAACTTAAACAATAAGCACAAGAAAAAGGATATTAAGTAATTGATATTGAATACGTTTTAAACCGAAGAACAACAAAAAAGGGCTCATAAAAGCTAAATTAGAAAGGAAAACCCGTCAAAACATTTGACTGCGACCCTTTAATACCCAATACACCCAATACAAATACAAATAATATGTGTAAGAGAGTTCCGATTCATTTTTTAAATTTAAATAATTAATTCCCGAGCCAAGGGACATTCCCCACAACTTGTGTGGCAGACAAAACGGAAGCTCTCCCCAAAAGCAAAAACGAAATCAGCAATGCAAATGTGCATCCGAGAATCTGAGAAAGTTGCTCAACAAAAATCAACAATGATTTGGACAAACAATACGATTACTCGTATATATTTAATTTATGCGCCATTTCTTTATTCCATATAAAGCATATACATGTACGTAGAAGTAGAAGTAGTAGTTCCAATTTGGATACAATAACAACCGACATTCGAGGGTATCACGTCACAGAGAGAAACAGAGAGAGAGAGAGAGAGATAGCGAGAGCAGACAGAGCGGCAAAGTTTATTCCAGTTGAAGTTCAAGGTGAGAGAGAAGGAATAATCGTATACCGAAATTAACACAAATATATATGTATGTATGTACGAAATGTTTGTGGGGCTATATATAAAAACAAACATATGTACATACATACATATATACGTATATAGTACCTATAACATCATGCAACCTTGACAAAGCCAAAAAAAGTGTGCCGCGAATGGAGCGAGTAAGAGATAGAGAGGTGGAGAGTTGGAGAGGAAGATAATTAAATTTAAATAAAAATAATTCGACTTTTTAGGTGCAGCAGCATCAGCAGCCACTGATTCCAATGGAAACACGAGTACTACGCATATAATATAGTAAATAAATATTATATATGCTTGTACAAGGAATTCCCAAAGAGCTAAGCCATTTTATGAGGTAATCCAATGAGGAATTTGAAACTAATTCGAATGTATTTCGAGTGGCGGCTTGCAGTACGACTTTCATATCCGTTTAGCCAGATACATTCTTATGGAATGTATCTCCAAGCGGCAGACCCATTGACCCAATCCGTAATTGCACTTCGCATGCTGAAACGTGCTTGCAAAAGTAATTTAGTTTCATTTAGTGCTCTGATATTATAGAATAGAAAGTAAAATTACTCATATTTTAGTGTTGACCTTTCAGTGCAGAACGAACCGTTATGCACCCCCCTACTCACTCACAGACATATTAAATGTCTAACTGTATAAACAGCTCTATAAAGAAATGACTCACCCATATATCAGCACAAAATGCAATTCGATTTCCTACATGCCATACAGAGTGTCTGGCCCACAAATCCACAAATGGCTAAACAATACACCGCGCAGGTTCTCTAGCTCTACACTGTGCAACACGATCGGGAATTATCCATTTTGTCATTATCCATATGCAATTAATTCTGACTACAGCCGCATAATATTATAAGAAGCGCATGGCTCTAGCATTAATGGTGTTCGAGCGTCCAGGTGTTCAAAGAGCCGTGGTTTTGTTGTTCATTTTGGCCATAATAATTATCCAATATGCCCTAAGTTTGAAATAAAACCTGATATTGGTTGGCTAGTGTTTTCTCCACAGATATGTATGCATACTGTAGAACCTGTCAACCGACTTGGCCAACCACCATATGCGTGTATTGTACATACATATAGCACGATCGACAAGTGCCTTCAGGGTCAACAGGTTGCCAGAGCAACAGTTTGTTGGGAAGGGGTGTAGAGTGGGTGTATTTGGGGAGGGAAAGACTTACCTAGATCAGGAATCGAGCTAGACGGCTCCTCGCCATTGCTGTTGTTGCAATTGCTGCTGCTGTTGCTGCTGCTGGTCGAGCCGGGGGCATGCTTGACCTTCGGCGGTGGCGGAGGCGGCGGTGGACGCATGGCAGAGCTGCCCATATTCGATTGCTGCTGCTGCTGTTGGTGCTGTTGGTGCTGTTGGTGCTGCTGCTGCTGTTGGTGGTGGTGATGCTGCTGATTGATATTGCTGCTGCTGGAGACGACCGGCGTACGAAATATGTGCGATGTGGCGGAAGAAGAGCTGGCTGCCGCCGATGAGGAGATGGCAGAGGAGCTGCTGCTGCTGCTAGAACTGACGCTTGCCACCACATGTTGCTGCTGCTGCTGTTGCTGCTGCTGCTGGAAGTGGTTGGAGGCAATCACGTTCACGTGTCGCGTGCTGGTGCTGACCACAAACTTGCGTGCAGCCGCTGTGGGTGTGGATGCTGCCCCACTGGAGATGTATTGTGTCTGCTGTTGTTGCTGTTGGGGCGGTGGAGGCGGCGGGGGTGGCGGTGGAGGGGGTGGTGGCGGCGCCAATGGTGGCGTCTGTCGCTGCTGATATTGCTGCTGCTGCTGATCCATATAGCCACCCGTGGCTACTGTTGCCCCACCGCGTCTGTTGATGACTGGCGAGACGGATGCCGAGCGCGAGTGATGGTGGAGGGGTGGCGGCGACACGGACAGACGACGTGCACCACCAACCACCACAGTGGTTTCATCGTACAGCCGACCATCCCGAATGACCCGCACATGCTGCTGATTCTGTTGGTGGTGCAGCGGCGGGGGCGACTGCTGCTGATGCTGCTGCTGCTGACGTTGCTGCTGCTGCTGTTGCTGCTGTTGCTGCAGTGCTGGTTGCTGTTGGAACTGATGCAGGGAGGAGGGACTGTCCGAGTGGCGACGCGACAGATGCTGACTGGGCACCGCTCGTGTGATGATGATCTGCGGTGACCCCGACAGGGCCACGGCATTGGCCTCCGGTTGTGTCTGACGTGCGGCACTGGCACCGCCGCTCGCTGTCACCTGCTGCTGGGTGTAAATGTGCTTGATGGCACCCACCGTAGTGCTGGTGGCTCGCTGCTGGACGTACTCCACTCGCGGTGTGAGAATCACCTTCTGAGTGCCCCCAGCCGTGGTAAGGCCTGTCGGCTGGCGTGGCGGCACTGTCTGCACCTGGACGTGGGTGTATCTCTGTGGCATTGTTGCAGCGTTGCTGCTGCTGTTGCTGCTACTGCTGTTGCTGTTGCTGCTGCTGCTGCTGCTCGGCTCCCGTTCGATCTCCTCCAGGTGGAGCATCTCAAAGTCGATCGGTTCGGTTTTGATCAGTTTTGGGGTACCCGAAGTCGGTCCCGAAGCGCTTCCTCCTCCTGCTGCTGTTGCGGCGGCGGCAGCTGCTGCTGCTGCCGCCTGTGCCGCCTCCATGCACTTTAGTTTCTTCAACATGGGTGTATTATTTTTCAAAAAGGAAAATCGCACAAAAATTCCGATATATATGTATATCGTATATCGATTAATATAATGGTGTATGTTTTTTTCTTTGTTGTTGTATGGAAAGTTGATTTATATTTTTGTGGATTTGATCCTGAATCACTTTTTGCCTCAATGATGCTCTTCGTCTTAGCTTATCCTTTATCCTTATCCGTCTTCTGCTTCGTCTTCGTCGTCTTCTTCTTTAGTTTTAAAAATCAGTCTCTTCTTCTTTACGCTTTTGTGGTTGTTGTGGTTGTTGTTGTTGTATTCTGCTTTTGCTTTTGTTTTTGTTGGATTATCAAAAAAATTTGTTTGTTGTGTGTTTTTTTTGTTTGTCAGCCTTCAAAGTTGCGAAAAAGTTTTCCCTTTTTTGTTTTTTGTTTTGTTTTGTTTTTCTATTTTCTGTATTTATTTCTGTATTCTATTGTATCCTAGAATTGTTGTCCTTAGTCCTTACGTTATCCTTAGCGTTGTCCCTGGCTATATACCTGCCACACAGTGATCCTTACTGTATATATAATATATATATATATCTCTCTCTAAATATATATATATTTGTCTGTTTGTTTTGAGGCTTCTTCCGTTGAGGATGAGATGAGTTTTCCGACTGAGTTTTTATGTTTTTCGGAGGCTGATTTCCGAGTCTAAGTTGGTTTTTTTGTTTTTGTTTTTAGGTGCTAATAATACTTGATGGTTTATACGACCACTCCGCAGCAGCTTCTGAGTATGTTTTTGTGTTTTTTTCGAAGTATCTAAGTAATAGAAATGATAAAAAAATACATATATAGTTAGATCTTGAGGATACACATTGCTTATCATAGAAAAAGCTAGAGATATTATATTCCACAGACTCGAACTCTAGCTATACATTGGTATTACTCTCACTAAGAATTGATCATAATTATGGAATTATAGAATTCCAATAAAAGATTAAATTATTAAAAGTAGCCCAACAAATATTTAATTTTCCTTTCAGTATTGCTTTTCCAGTGATTATACATTTAATGAATGTTATCTAAGTAAGGGCTTAAATAAGGACATAAATAAAGGCTTAAATAGGGGCTTAAATAGGGGCTTAAATAGAGGCTTTTGTATATACAGACAGACTAAGAATTGGAAGAGCGAAAAGCCAGCCATTCGGTGTGGAAATGTGTGGGGAAAAATGGGTGCAAAAGCCTACAGTAGGCCTAATAAATCCTTGCAGATTTTATATTACTTACTTTTATTTATAAATAGAGATGTATGCATGTATGCTCGATTGATTGTTGGCTTGATTGATGGATTGATTGATTGAAAATCGTTGATTAATATGTATAAGAATATATATATGTATATGTATATTTGATGATCGCGTATCTGATGTATATAGTTATTATTATATCTGATGTATTATATTTGTTTTGTTTTCTGTTTTGCTTATTTTGCTGCTCATAATATTTCTAATATTTTATACACGATTCACAAGATTATTTTAGTAATTTTTTCCAAAAATATATATATATTTATATATGTTTAGTATTGTAGTATATTTTGCACATGAAACACAACGCGTTGCAGATCCTTATATCCTTGTTTTTGTTGTTGTTGTTGTAAAACCTGAGCGAGTAAATATTCAATTCAATTCATTTGTTGTACGAGTATTTCTTTGTTTTTAAACACCTCTAGAAAAATATATTCATTCAGTTGAGTGTTTGTTGAGTGTTAGGGGGGAGCTTTGTTTTGGTTTTATTAACGGTATATTTTTTGCGGCTTCCAGGATTGATAATTTTCACTTGATTTGATTACAATTTGATTGGATTTTGTTGTTGTTATGTGTGGCTTTACACCTTTGCTGTTGACATTTGACCTTTGTGCTGTTTGTGTGATTGGGGAATTTGTTTATCAGGAATAGCTTGTTGAAACACATTGCGACACAGATGCAGAGACGCTGGCTTGCCCCCAGAGAGACAGAGGTTCGTGTCGTTCACAGCTGTTTCGGGTCCGGGACTCGCATTCGCATTCGGATTGGGATTCGGATTCGTTTTTTCGCCTCTACATCCCCATATATACAGAACAGAACGGAACAGAACTATTGACTGACCGAACAAACAAACAGCTGGGTGTGGCGGCTGTTGGGTGGAGGTGTGGAGCAACAGCTGGGTGCCTGGGATGGCGGCGAGTGTGGTGTCCTCTGCTGGAGCCGAGCTTCAAGTTGCGTCGTGGTTCAAGAGCAAGGCGTCGTCGAGGACATGGACAAGGACGCCACCCAGCAGACGACCGGCAGGGCCAAAGCCCAGAGCCAGAGCCAAGAGCCAAGCAGCTGTTCGGACCAGGCTCTGACGCGCTGCACAAGGACAAGGACAAGGACACACACACGGGGGGGCCACGATTCGAGGTGATACGATGCGATACGAAACGATACACGGACACGGGGGTACACGGGGGACACGGTACACGGTCACGGCTCAATGTTAGACGACACACTCTTTGCCCTTGACAATGGGCTTTCCTTTTTGGGCTTATATAAGGCCGCCCATATAATTATTGCACATTTCAATAAATATTCGAAAATGATTCGACACTTGCTCTCACTCTCACTCACTCACTTGCTCTCACTGGGTGGGTGTATATATATATATATATCTCTGTCCCTTTCGGGTGTTTTGGGGATTTGTTTGTTGGCCAATTCGTTTTTTGCGCGCGGCTGATGTAAGCCTCGCCAACCGTTGCGTTTGCCGTACTACTTTTGAATGAATCGGCAAAAGCAAAAGCTCCCAACAGGCCCAGAACCAGAAACAGTAACAGAACACTGTGCGAAAGAGATGGCAAGAGTGAAAGAGAGAGACAGTGAGACAGCGAGAGAGAGAGAGAGAGAGAGCGCTGCTGTTGTTCTCTGTTGTTCGTTGAGAGCGCAAAAGCTGCACAATGAAAGTGAAAACCGTACGAAAAGCTGAGCAGAGAGAGCACAGACAGTGAGAGAGAGAGAGAGTAAGAGAGAGAGAGAGAGCATTGCTGCAAAGAGAGAGAGAGATAGAGAGAGATGGCAAAGAGAGGAAGAATACAACAAGCAAAACATAAATAAACAAAAATAAATGCGAATGTAAAGCCAAAAAGACGACGCACACAAACTTTTTCCGTGGGGTTCAACAATTTGTGGACTGGGGCAGCTCTTAGTGGGTGGGTGGTTGGATGTGGTTGGAGGAGGGTTCCCTTCCGCACGGGGGTTGTTGCCACACACACAATTTTCGGGGTTGCTTGCTGATGCGGAGTTTGAGTTTTTCAGCCCTCGACTTCCGTGCGTATGAGTAATGTGCGTGCGGATGAGAAATTTACAGGGGAATGGTCTGGGATTTTCGGTTAGGTTAGCAGCGCTGCCACGCATTGAGGTAGGTTCGCAGCGAGTTAAGGCACCAATACCCCCTGCCCCTCGGCCCTAAATTGACGAATGGGGGGCAGCAGTGGCAAATACCAGATACCAGAGCGGAAGTTACATACACATACGTGCATGTACGTGTGTGTGTGTGTGTGTTGAAAGTATTTGGAGTGGAAGTTGCTCGAGTGCTTGGATTATAAGGGACACTTTTGCTTGCAGGTAGAACGTGGGAAGAAGGAGGCTTTTCCTTGGTGACCATTCTGATAGGATCAAACGAAATTGAGGCCTTTGGGGGGCTGTCTTCGTTTAATTGAACTATCCAACTATAATCCTTGATGCAGCCTGATTAATCGTGTTATTAAACGACTTATTTGGTGTAGTTCATTCACTTTCACTCCACCTTTCAATCCCCAAGCGGCATTAAATGCATCATCATTTCTTCCGGATAACCTGTTTCCATGCCTCATGCGGTGGGTGGCATTGAGGGGGGTGGGGCGCCAAAACTTCCGCGTACGACAGAGAGAGACCTCCAATTGAAAAAAATCAAACAAACCAAAACGCAACCACACAATAAACCGTTATATGCGATATGCGAAATGAGCACACGATGACATTCATTGAGAGATTGGGAGAGTGTGTTGGCGTGTGTTGTTGGTGTGTGTGTGTGTGTGCTTGGCAACATATTCAATAGCGAACTAATCAACAAACAAAATGCAACCTCACCGCTGCACAAGCTGCAGCCATGTGGAAATGCAAGCACACACACTCACAGATACAAACACAGACAGACAGGCAGACAGACACTGACAGACAGACACACTCACTGCCAATGTATTGACCTTAACATTGCGAAAAAAGAACTTGAAATAGAAACAGAACGTCAGAGAGGGAGAGCAGCACACACAAACAGAGAGAGAGAGAGAGAGAGGGAGAGAGAGAGAGAGCCGGCGAGAGCAAGTGGCGGCGCGTGTATTTGTCAAGTTCACCAATACCAAGGAAGGCCTAGTCGGCGCTGGCTTTAGCAGAGCGTCTACAGTGCTGCCCCAACAGCGCGCTGTTAAAGCGCTGTTGGAACGATGAGTGGAGTTTTGCTGGTCACCGAATCCGTGGAGTGGAGTGGAGTGGAGTTGCAGCGCAGACACGGGGGATTCTAATGAGGGTTGCAACTCCAGACGGAGTTTTCAAACTGGAATGAGTCAGACAGTTGGGGTATGGGACGCCCATGAAGGCTTAATGAGCCGAAAGGATGAGTGTGGGTGTGTGTGTTGTCCTTCCCGGATCGAGGCGATTTTTCTAGTGCTTCCACTTTCCACCCACTAATTGAGGCTTTTGCTGGCGATGTGATTCCGAGAGTGAAAGGTCAGGTGGGTCAGTGGACAGTATCCTGATGAGAGCTGCATAGGAGTTTTCTATTTCTAGTTGGTGCATTCACAAACTAATCATTTTAACTTTTCTGCTTAATTTACATATTTTTCAACTTGTTTTTCTTAATTTTCACAGTTGGAATTTGCTTTTTTTCTAATATATTTTTTCTGTAATTTTCACTCAATTTTCAAACAAAATTAAAACGATTTTGTTTGTTTGTTTGTTCTCAGCTTTGACTGAATTTTGTTTTGTTTTAAACGAATTTCAGGTTTTCTTTGTTTTATTTTTTTTTAGTAATTTAATCAATTTTAATAATTTTTGTTCCTAGGTTATCACACTTTTCCAAGTAGTAATCTAATTTTGATCTATTTAATTCTTAGAACTTCAAACACTTTCCAAATGAAATCCAATCCATTAATTCATATTTATAGGAACTTGTCGTACATATTTCTCATGAATTAACTGGAATCTGATTAATATTAGAACTTTAATTGGGTTTTTTTTTTGAGAATTTTTACACAAAGCTCCCACAAACAAACAACTTGCAAGTTGCAACACATACAGAGAGAGGGCAAGGGCTCCACTTGATCGCGTTACGCATCCGTCGGATACTGCTGCCACTAGGAGCAGAAAGTCGGAGCGAATGCTTGGGGCATGCCTGGCACCGACCGACATGCAATTGAAATTGTTGCAACAAATGAAAGTTGGTTGCTGGCTGGCCAAGAACAAGACGCGTTGCTTGGTAAGACGAGTGCGCAGCCGAGTAGTCGGTTAGCGTGAGGAGGCGTGGCGGTGGGGCGGCGTAACCGAGCACTGTTAACCGTGCGAGAGAGAGAACACAGCGTACGACATGACGGACGCCGTTAACGAGACTGTGGCCGAAGCGCGGCAGAAATTTTGCAAAAGTGAAAAATTCTACTTTCAATATGAAAACGAACAGCGACGCAACGCAACGCAACGCCAACTGTGACTGCGACTGCGGCTGCGACTGCAGCGCAGCGGCGGCGACAGCGGGAGTTGTGCATGGAAGAAATGGATGGGCATGGGCCGAAAGCAGCAGCAGCAGCAGCAGCAGCGGCAGCCCACTGTGGGTATGGGTAAGGTAGGTCGTGGTATGGGAATGTCAGACAGAAAGAGAGACAGAGAGAGCGAGTGAGAGCGAGCAAGCGAGCTTCAGTGAGAGCGCAGACAGAAGAGAATGCAGAAAACAAAGCAAAGCATAGCCCAGAGAAGTCAATGTACAATGGGCGGGTGGTCGTTGGGGGTGGGTGCGGGTGCTACGAACATGAACATGAACATGACCGTGGATATGGACGTCGGAAGCAGATTTCCACTGTCGTAGCAGCGGCAGCAGCGGCAGCAGGCATTTTGCCCCTTTTCGAGGGCTTTTGTCGTACTTCTTTTTGGGGTTGCAAAAGTTTTTGTGGCATTCCGGGAGTGTTGTCGCCGCATAGAAGTTAAAAATAATTGCAAAATGTGCCCGAAGTGGGTGGATTGTTTCTTCGTTGCTCCGCTGTCTGTCTGTCTGTCTGGAGTTGCAACCCCTCGGGCGTTGAAATGAAAGGAAACTTCGCCAAGGAGTTTATGGCAGCAAAGGCTGGGCAGGAGAGACGACGGTTTCCTAGACACTCCGCTGGCTTACATTTTGTTTGGTTAGGTCGGGCAGAGATACGAGGACGAGTACGAGGACGAGTACATATTTCCCTTACATTTATTTGTCCGCCCAGCTGCGGGAGACTGGGGAGACCGCCTCAAGCTTTGAATTCTGCCCGTCTGGGGGTTGCAATCTAATGGAGTTTCGTTTCGGCTGCCCTTGTGCGGGGGAAGTTTTTAATGGATGTGCGTCGCGTAACCTTGATTTTGTGAGCCCATGCCAATCGAATCTGTTCTAACTGAATTCTTTGGATGTTCCAACAGCCACTGCCCCATCCTTTCCATGCTCAAATATTCCTTAGTTTTCCATTCTAGCTTGTCCAGTGCAGGTCCAGGTCCGAGTCCAGACGAGGGCGAGGCTATTGCATTGAGTGGATGGCACTGGCAATGCCATCCGATTCCTAAGGTTAGCCAGACACGCGTCTGCGGGTCTCCGCTTAGCGGTACTCTTTCTGGCCAAATATCATGGTCAATGACAGCGCCATGAAATTTGCAAACATGCAGCACGTGGCAGGGGCAGCCAGACATCACCCCCGAAACAGCATAGCATAGATGGGGCACCGGCATCCCACTCGTAGCCTGTGCTCTCTTTCTCGTAGAGCGAGAGAAAGAGAGAGAGCGGTAAATGCAAGGCGCATGGTTCGAAGCTGCAACGTCGCGACGTTGCACATGCCACATGCTATGGGGGACAGAGAGTCCTTCGCTGCAGCTGCACGTCCTGCACGAAGGTTAACAGAGTTTTCAGGGGCACTACAAACACTACGAACGATGAGCACGATGGGCACGATGGGTGGAAGGCCACGCCACGCCACGGCACGACACGACAGGACAGTCAGGCCCTCCTACTCAACGGACCAAGGGCAAGGACACGCAGGCATGCGCATTTCCGCATAGCCATCGCCTCGAATAAGTAGCGTTGCATGCAGCCAGGCAGCAGTCTGCTGCTGCAGTCGGTCCCTGGCTCCGACTCCGGCTCGGGATCAGACTCGGGTCCTTGGCTCGGCTCGGGTCGGGTCCTCTCCCATTGCCAAGGTCCTGCTGGGGCGCTGCCTCTGCCGGCTGCCGGGTTGATTGGATGATGATGATGATGCTGCAGCTGCCGTCGCCAAACTACTGCAAATGACATTGGCAAGTGGGTGGCAGCAGCAGGAGGAGGAGTAGGTGGAGGGGAGGTCCATTCCCAGACAGACAGAGATAGAGATAGAGGCAGACAGAAAGAGATAAAGGGACAGGGAGATGGAGAGATGAAGAGATGGAGAGATGGAGAGACGGTGGCATTAATTTCAGGGCTGTCGTCGTCAGTCTGGACCTCGACCGAGGTCCCTCCCTCCCTTTTGCCTCTCTCGGGTTTTTGTTTTGCATTTCCTTGACAATTGTTTAACCAAATTTGCTGTCTTTCTTTCCAGGGCAAGGATATGGATATGTGGCACACACGTGTCACTCACACACACACACACACACACACACTCGTTCATTGAAATTTGACATTGCCACGCTGATGCTCTTCCAACCTTGATGGTCATTCCAAAGGTCAAACGCCAGGACCTTGCCCAACCCCAGCCGCAGTCGCAGCCCTCGAACTCAGAACTCTGATGGCAGAAGATGATTGACGGCATGAGCATGGGGTAAGTCGGAGCATGTAGAGCTCATCCTTGATTCGGTAATTTTCATCAATTAGTTGTCTGTGTTCAAAAGTCATAAACAGATTGGCAAATATCCCTGCCAATTAGCAGGGCTCCAGCTCCAGCTCCAGCGCCCAGACTAATGTCCCATAAAATGCCACAAAAAGAGAAGACATTTACATAGCACACCACACCACAGCACAGCCAAAGACAATATAAGTATAAGATGCGTAACGCCATACGAAATTTCTGCACACGAATTTTCGGGGCTGGCTCTAGAGCTGGCTCCAGCTCCTGAAATTTTTTAGAGGCGCCTAGAGCCAGCCGCCCTTGTATGCATACAGAATACGAAGGCACACGAAGTTGGTTCTTTGCCGATGCGACAGCCGAGCCGAGTCGTCGCGACGACTGTATGTGTGCACATGCATACGTTTTTTACAGCGCTGTCGAAATATACCCTTCACTTTATAAGTGTAAGTTAATTTTGCAAGACGCTACCACCCCAAATTAAAAAACTGTTATATTGTATATGTATATCCCTTCAACGATAATTTATTTTAAGATGGTATATTCGACAATGATGATCGGATATACATATATAAAAATACATAATATATTTAATACATGAAATTCCATGAATCACATTGGAATAATTGCCATTAGGGTATTCAGGATGCGACGTATTCAACGCCGGTATATAATTTCGTTTCCAACTCATAAAAAGGTTTCCGTCTCGAAAATCGTCCGCTACACAAGTACGCACACATACGCACTTGCTGTTCTGTGTGTACTTACACATGCAAGCGGATTCTATTTTTAGATTCGTACGCTCTCAAATTTGTGCGAGCGAGATGGCGCGAATCGTCGCTGGCCGAAAATTGCTTGCATGGCAATTGAAATGTATGAGCGTTCCGCATCTTATACTTATATTGTCTTTGGCACAGCACACCAAATACCTCGCCCAAAACCACAAAGTGGGTACATCTGTCGATTTCGAGCATTCGGAGCGAGCGGCTCTAAGCCAACCCGCGGTGCCTCTATCCAGAGGAGCAATAGAGCAACGGGAACAAAGCCAATTATTGGGTCAATGTGCGTGCAGTGAACTGATTCGGGCTGAGGCGCAGGCCCAGGCCCAGGCCCAAAAAGTAGCCAAAAGTATGCTATAAGTCAGTCGCCTGCCGTCTCGAGAGTTCATTGACAACTAATTTTCATCGGAGCGTGTACTCAGGGATGGGAGGGATAGGGATAGGGATAGTCAGAGGTAGGGATGGATAAAGCCGAGCACTTTGTTTTATTTACGGCTGAGGAGCCGCCCGCGGTCGATGACTCACACACCTACTGGGATTCGGGGTATTCGGGATTCGGTACACGGGATTCGGCAGGCACAAAGTTCATCCACTTGTCCGTTTCCCCTCCCCCCACGAACCTACAATATTTGCTGCCGCTTATCCTGCTTTATTATGCCGTCCTGCAGCCGGCAAAGGTGAATCATCTCTTCCCTCCCCTCCACTCCCACGATGAGTAAGCCAGGCCAGGCGACTTTTGATGGCGCCGTCGTGTGTCCATTGCACCTGTCCGCCTGGGACGTGTGCGGGGGGGTGAGGGACTATAGGTTCAGCCGCAAGTTCAAAGTTCGTGTGGGATTTGGGTTGTGTGCAAATCATTAGTCATATATAGACGAGCGGAGGGGCGCGGCCGCTGGCTAAATTGTCCCCTTTGCTGGTTGCTGCTGCTGCTCCTGCGACTTGTTGAAATATTTCCCCGACAGAATCTATTGCCAGACAGCGGATTAGAGCATTAAACCAGTCGACACGTTTCAGTTGCTTGACAATAAGGATACCCATTAACCCAAAAGATTCTAGGTCTCCTAACGAAAGTCCTTGCTCTAGCTGGAAGCTAGTAGTGTTTCGAACAGCCAGTTGTTTTTTTGTTCACTTTTGGCTGTAATAATGATTCGATTGTGATCGATTTTTTTTGCATTTATAAATCTGGGAAATCTGCACTTCCCTTTAACTGCGGGAAAACGTTTATAAAAAATAAAAAATGCATCTTTGAGGCGTGCGTTTATTTTTAACAGCATATTTTAACAACTTTGAGGTCAATTATACCGGGACAAGAACTCTGGGCAACCTGAAAAGTAAATTCCACTGGGACTTAGCAATCTGGTTGGGTTATTTGGTCATAGGTTGAAGCCTCACCAATCGTTTGATCCACCGCATCTTTGGACGATCGAACAGCCACAATGTGAACGGGTTTTCGGGTGTATGGCCATTCTCCCGCAGAATCTCTACCATGGCAAACACGTACGCCCGGTAGATGGGCACCTTGCGCATGGGTACACAAAAGTCTCGGAGTTTGGTACAGGCACGTAGCACCTGGAGGAAACCATCCCCATCCAAGGGCGGCGGCAGGCAGTCGATTTCCAGGCACTCCAAGCTAATTGCATGCCGCAAAATAGTTGCACAAACCAAGTTCTCGATGTGGCATTGACATGACCAAAGGGCCAGGAATGTCAGATTTGGGAAGTGGGGCAACTCGGCTGCGAGCAGGCACTGCTGCAGGTTGAGACACTCGAGGGCGGGCCACGGCATTAAAGCAGTTTCCGCATCCCCATGGGCTTGAATATTTATGTTGGTCACCGTCAAGTGCCGTAGTTTCTTCAGGGGAGCACATATCTCGAGAATTTTGATTTGTTCATGGTGCGAACGGGACTTTATTTTCAGTTCTTCCAAGTCAACCAACTGCCGTAGCTCGTAGACTGAAAGAGAGCATCCGAGAGCGGGGATAAAGCATAAAGGATCCAGGCAAAAACTCACCTGCATCCCCTGCATCCTGACAGAAGTCCAGTTTCTTGAGCTGTGGCAATTCTCGCAGGCCATGAAGGACTGCAACGGGCACATCTCTGGCCATGTGTATCACAATCGATTTTATCGTATCCCTTCCTTTGAGTAAGAGTATCAAGGATTCCATGACGTGGGCATTGCTTGCAGTGACATGGAAATCAAGCGACTCCAAGTGATGGCAATGTTTCGCCACTAGTTGCCCCAAATCATCGCTGCCACTGTGATAGACCAACTGCCGTACAGTGGGGCCACAGGTCTGCAAAATAAGCGCACAATTGTCATGGTTACTGACGGAATTAATGGTCAGGCTTCTGTATCTGTCGCGACTGTGGTAGGCGAACGCCTTGCCCAGAACGTCATGGGCCTGCGCCAATTGAAATTTCTCCTGTCGATTTTCAATCCTTTTGAATATGAGGTGAAGAACCTCCAGCGGCAGATCCGTGATATTGCGCTGTGTTTCCATCGTTCCCCCAACCGTAGAGAGAGCACGAATCAAACTGAGCGACTCACAAAATGTTGTGCAGTCAGTGCCGCCGAACCACAGACGACGGGAGGGAGAGTCACAGCCAAAGCTCCGTCACTCTCTCTCTCTCTCACTCACTTCCTGTGGTTTTCTTTGGGGCAAAGCTTTTCCGGTTTATTGCATCAGTTTTAAAGTTGAGGAGATCTACTAAAGATGGTGAAATGTTTTGTGGGGTATGGGGGGGTATAAACAAAATAGATTTAATGGAAATTGATTATGGTTGTAGGTATGGCATTTAAAGTACAGTTAAAGGCTCATAATCTGCAGATATGATGTGCTAATAATATTCAATAATTGCAGGCCAGTTTCATCTATCAATCTGTTTACACTCTGAACGATGGTGGTAAAGGTCTTCTTATCCGCTGCTCCGCTGGCAGGCAGGTCTGTAATGTTTCGCTGTGTTCCCATGCGTTCCTCTGCAAGCAAGCACGACGTTGATTGAGCGAGAGAGAGAAACGAAAACGTTTCATCTACTCTCTGACTAACTGTGGCTCTCTGAAGCGAAGCAGCTTCATGTGCTGCGCATTCCTAAACGGGTATTGGTATGGGTATGCCGTTGGGATCCTAGGAGAGCTGCAACATAAGACATTTGGCAACATTTGGAATCTCAAAAAAGACACTTTATTTTAGGTTTTTCTTGTATACAACATACACATATGTACATATATATAAATGTATTATTTATCTATGATAATTTTCACCAATGGCCCACAGAGAGCAGCTTCGGATTAGAAGTTCGACGAACCTACAAACGAGAGAGAGGCAGAGCTTGAAATTTGTGACTTGGGTTGGGTTTGGGTTCCTGCTACAAGTTCCTGCTCCCCGCCCCCCACTCACCCAGTGGCGGAGCCAGCTAACCTTCGTTCGGCCGTAGATCAGTAGGTGCAGTGGCTCATCCGTTGTGACGCCATTGTCCTGCAGAATGTCCATCATGGTGGCCACAAAATCCCTGGTGAACTTGACCCTTTGTGCCTGTGCGTAAACGAAGCGCAGTCTCTTGCAGCGGCGGAGTATTTCGAGAAAACCCTCGCCATCGCATAACGAGGGGCGACAGTCGATCTTCAGATTCACCAAGGTGTCGCCATGTTTCAGCATACACCTGTTGAGCACATTCTCGCTGCTCGATTTACAATTGAGAATGTCCAAGGATGTCAGCTTTGGGCAATGCGGCATCTCCGTTGAGATCTCACAATAGTTGATTTGTAGGAATTCCAGGCAGGGAAATGGCATCGAAGGAGCAGCCCCAGACTCCACTAAATTATAATGGAAAAGTTTCAGGGTGCGCAGTTTCTTTAGACTGGCGGTAATTTCGAATAGTTTGATGGCTTGATAGTGGTCGGGCTTTCCTGTATTCAGTGTCAGCTCCACCAATGTGCTGAATTTCTGTATATGAAAGACTGAGCGAAAGAATCAAGGCATATATTCCACTTGTGTTTATTGTGGCCTGAGGGACACTCACCTTCCTCGTTGGTAAACCTGACAAAGGTACCTTTTCGCAGCTGTGGCAATTCCGGATACTCATGGAGCATCATTGGTGGGATCTTCGCTTTGATGCGATTATCCACATCCAATCTGATTTCCTTTATTGTTGCCCTGGCGTTTGCAATCATCGACCTGACGCTGTTGCAGTTGTCGGCATTCACATTCACATCCACCATTTCGAGGTGGGGGCAGTGCCGCTCCACCAACTTGGCCAGAGGGTGGCTCCAATTGTGACTGTTGCTGCATAAGTACTCACGCACCGTTGTGCCGCACAGCGACAGCAGCACGGGCCACGCATCCCTCGGTATATACTGCCAGGGGGCCACAGTCTTAAGCTGCTGGTGACTGTGGAAGGCGAACGCCTCGCCCAGATACGCATCCGCCTTGGCCAGATTGACTTTATCGAGTTGGTATATGAGTTCCTTGTAAATCAGATCGAGAACCTCGAACGGCAGGTCCAAAATATTCCGTTGGGCAGCTGCTGCTGCTGCTGCCGTAGCCATTTTTTGTTTTGTTTTGTTTGCAGTGCCAAAGCCGCCGCCGCAGAGAGCGAAAACGGAACTGAAACAGTGATAAATGCACGGGACTGAGACGAGGTCAGGCGAGAGAGTAACAGCAAGCGAGAGGTGTGGAGAGGAGAGCTTTTGTTTTGCTCTCTCTTGATGAATGGCACTGGAACAGCGGGTGGGAGAGGGAGAGTGCATGTAGCCACATATTTTGCAGCTAAGTTTCTGTTTGTGTAAATATTTGCACTCCACAAGAAAATATCAACTGGAAATTCGAAATCGTATACACTGATTTTCCTATCAAATAACTGTAGTATTACTGCATTTCCATGAAGAAAAAACACTGCGATTGGGGCACTCTCCGGCACCGGTCCATGCGCAACAGATGGCCTTTGAGTTGGTTGTTGTCATTACACAAAGCTAAATACATACAAAATATTGCATTAACGGAACGGTGAAGTGTGGAACACTGTATGCATATATTTATTTGTATTTTTACTAGTAGAGTTGGACCCAGTCCGACCTAGTGCTCCGTGAATCTGTAATACAAATCTATTACTTCGGGACTCCAAGTCCTAGCAATCTGCCAATAAGAAGTGTGTTAATGCCGATTCCAAACCCGAATACACCATTTATGCGAGTGCCTAGCATTATGTATTATCGAGCTGATGCTTTTCACATTACAGGCCCTGACCATAGGCTCTGAAAAAGTGCCCATTCAGCCTTGGCCTGTGCTGGTCAAGCAACTCAATCAACTCATCCAATTTATACCAATCAGCCGATCCGATCCGCAACTCTACAATAGGGGACCCACAGATCTTCCAGATGAACCCATAGGCGTTGTGTGGAATACTGGCATTGATCGGAAGTATTCTGTATTTATGGCGAACGTGCTAGGCAAATGCTTTGCCCCCAGATCCTCATGCGCCTGTCCCAAGCTCAATTGATCCTTCTCGTTGGGGCAGTGCTTTGAATATCAGGTCAAGCACCTCGAACGGTAACTGCATAATATTCCGTTGCGTTTCCACCGTTCCCTGTAGAGAGGTGGGCAATCGAATTCTCTTTTCTCAGCGGCAGAGCACGAACAGCACCGAACTGATGAGACCAGAGACCAGAACCTGAGCCGAAGCTCCCCAGCCAGCCAGAGAGCACGCCATGGCGAGAGCGATAGATAGCCCAGAGAGAGTGGGGTTCACTGGCACCCAAGCTCAAGAGATTATTTTTCAGCATCGGCTGCAGTCTTTGCACAGCGAAGATATTTCATGTTGTGGATTAATTTTGGATATTCGAATGATCGTCGTGATCGGGAAAGACAAAACCAAACTTCAGCAGCTAAAAACCAACGCATGGGGCATAGAAATCAAAGCTGATTTCTCTCGTTCCCGTTGCCCTATTCTTAATCTCCAAGCTAACCCGTTGACTTGTTTCCACCCTAGTTCCCAAAATGCCCTTGCCTGCCCCTTGCTCCATCTGCGGCTTGGCATCGTCTATGGCTGCGTTTTATGGCCACTTATTTGGCCAGAACATCAAGCACTGGCGACGCCAGCAAACTGTGCAAAATGATATAGATTACAGGCTATTATGCCGCCACTCCACGCCACGCCACGCAACGCAACGAGTGTGTGTTGCAACCCCCCTTTGAGCAGCAGCAGCAGCAGCATTTGCCATCCCACAATCTCCCCTCCTCATTGCCTGCCATTCTGCCATTCCCCCAAATAACAAACAAACAAACAAACAACCAAGCGACGATGTCAGGGCCCAGACAGTTGGTTCTCCTTCTTCTCCAGCCCAAAACTTTCGCTAATTTGTAATGTTGCTGCTGCAGCAAACAGCAACTGCACTTGGCCAAGAGAGAGACAGAGAGAGAGAGAGAGAGAGGGATAGCTGGAGTAGGAGCAGGAGCAGCAGCAGCAGCAGGAGCAGGAGGAGTCGACTCGACTGGGCTGACACTTTTGATGCCCGTTGCGTGATAAGAGCGGAACGTGCCCCGTGGACAGATGAGCCGATGACGCAATGCAGTGCAACATGGAGGTCAATAAACCAAGGAGAATGTTGTGGCAATGCCTGGGACTCGACGCGACGCGACTCGACTCGACTCGAAAAGGGTTGAGCTTGCCACACGCCCTTGGATACGGGTCCTTTGTTGGGGGAGGGCCGGCACACACAGCAGACACATAAAGGACCCAAGCTAAGGCTGGGCATTAGCCTGAATGGTTTCGGTGTTTAATCATTTGGGCGGATAATATGTGGCACGAAAATGGTTAATCGCGGTGGGATAAACCGCAATTGGTATTCGATAGGTTTGAGGGCCTAGAGATTCGTACTTTTAATATTGCAAAGCAGTTGAAAAATTGATGCTGGGGTTCGAGCTCTAAGACCCGTCCCAAATAGGGAAACTTTTGGGGGAATTGCAGTGGCAGTGGCTTAACCCACCGGTGGTGAAGCATGTTGCAAACTGCTGGAAACAGCACACCTGTTCCCTGTGCCCAGTTTGCCCCCCCCCCTGAGTGTTTCGAGGCCGTTCCTCCTGTTTGATTACAGAAGGGGAAGGGAGTAGCTGTCTGTGTTTTGTGTCTCTGCTGCTGACATGTCTCTGTCCAGCAGGTTGTGCAGGATAATTTGTCATTTCGTGGACAGCGGACAGTGGACAGTGCCACACACCTCGGTAACGGTTCACCCAAACCGATGGAGGGTGGCGGAAGGATTCCAGCAAGGAAGGGTTGCAACTGTGACTCACCTCACCTCACCTCACCTAGTTCCCAGCTGAAGCGGCAGCAGCAGCAGCAGGGGAAGTTTGTTGCACAATAGGCTGGCTGTCTCTGGCCGGCTGGCTGTCTCTGGCTGTGTCTCTTTTGCCAATTGCAACTTTCTCCATTTCTCTAGCACTGACACTGGCACTACCTACTGCTACCTGCTCTCGCTCTCTTCCTCTCTCTCTGTCTCTGAAAGAGGCACCGAGAACTTTCCCTGGAACGAAACCCGTCCAGCCAGTTTCAGTTCTTCGGTAATCCATCTAAGCAAACATTGCACAATGCGGCTGTAGTTGGTGTTGGGGGGGGGGGGCATGGGCAAAGGTATTGCAACTAGTTTTTCCACCAGTGGAAAATGCATTGGCATTGGCATTGGCAATGGCAATGACCCAACCAGGCTTAGCCTTGAATGTTCTGGAGTCTCTCAGCCGTGGGGGAAAACTGCAAGTGGAAAACCAGTTGGTTGGTTGGCAGAACAGAAGGCAGTAGAATAAGAAGTGGTTTTCCATTTGCTTGCCAGAGTCTCGAGAGTCTTGACTCGGAGTCAAAGTTTTCCTCACTCTCTCTCTCTCTCTCTTTCTCTGTCTCTCTGCTCTTGTGGCCATGCCCTTGGTCAAGTCTTGGGCGATTGATGCAAGACAATCGTTTCGTTTCGTTTCGTTTAATGCATTTCTTGTGCTCTGGGTGGGAATGCAGCTCCATGAAGCAGATTATTGTCTAGTCCTGGCGACGCCGCCAAGATAGAGCTGTCACCCACACTACGGGAGGGTTGGGGATGCGCCTGATGAGACACTTTTACTTTAGTGAGGAGTGGAATTTTCTAGTTTTCACTTGTCACACAGAGACAGAAAGACAGAGAGACGATGTCTGCTGTAGGCATGGGAATGGGGTGGGGCACTTTCTAATACCCCAAGCAGCGGCAGGAGGAGCTGTGCAGCGTAGAGTCCTGCCCCATGTCTCTCCCCGCTGCCGCTTCAGCCACTGACTTGCGAAAAGCGCTTGCAGTGGAGTGTGGGTAGGTCAACCACCAGACATTGAACCCGAACACACAGCCAGAACACACACACACACAGAACTTCCGCCGAGAGCTGGCTGCCTAGCCATAAAGAAGAGGGAAGAGGAGGAGCAGGCGGCAGGCGGCAACGTCGTGCGGAAAATGTTGCATGCAGCAAAGCAGCAAAACAGCAAACGAAATGAAACGAACGAGCGAAACGACAGAGCACACGAAAAGCGTGCAACGACGACGACGACGACAAGCAGCACGTGAATCGAGCAGCGAAACAGCAAAAGAGAGAGACGAAGGTTGAGCCGGAGGGGGTGGTAGGGCAAGAATAAGAGGTAGAGAAGAAGAAGAAGAGGCAGGGAAAGGAGTCAGCAGCAATGCAATGTCTGCGCTGCGCTGCGCTGCGCTCTGTGCGAGGGAAGAATGTGGGGAGAGAGAGAGAGAGAGAGAAGCAGTAGAGAATCGAGTGTGGCCGTTGCCTAGCGTCGCTGTTGTCGGTTGTCGGTTGTCGTCGTCATCGCATTTCCCATTGTGCGCTAGTTTAGTGGGTTGAGTGACACAGACACAGTTTGTGGCCAGGGCCAGAGCGAGACGTTGAGCGACTGCAAGGGGTGGAGGGGTGGGGAGGGGAGTTGCTGGAGAGTGCAGCAAAGCGAACGAACAAGTTTGCAAATTTCTCTGTTTAGAGCAGAGTGGGGGGAGAGAGGAGAGGTTGTGTGCTGTGCGGAGGAGGTGTGACAGGGCGGAAGGGGAGATGTTTGCAAATGTGGAGTTGGGCGGGAGCAGTATGTTGGTGGGGGTGGGGAGCGGTAGCGATTTTGTAATCGCTATTCAAGTGAGGCAGAGGCGTTGCCAGATGCAGCGATGAAGTGCACAAGGATCTGCGTTCCTTCCAGTAGCTCAAAGCAGCTCAGAGTAATATATATATAAGAATACATATATGTACATATATATAATATATAATTTCGATTATATGTACATGTATATATGTTCGATCGAAATGCTATAGCTAAAGGAAAAGCTACCAGATGTATCTGAATCCAAGGAGTTATCAGCTAAAATCAATTTCATATCAGATCAACTGGCTGAATGTCCTGCGCAAGGACTGAGAATAGGAGACACCAGTCTGCTTCGTATTTAAAAAGGAGATTGCTGAGAGCAGTGCAACTCTATTAATTGTCCTTTCATTGCTGCAAACTTTCCACCATCTGGCAACGCTGCTGCAGTCCATGCTCTTTGCTTTGATAATGAAAGAACAGGGC